AGTTCCTGGTCTGCTGGGAATATCCCCACCCCACCCAGGTACCACCCGGGTCCATCCCCCACTCCTATATCCGCACACATGTTTGGCTGCCTACCTGGCTGGAAGTTTCTAGAAGGCTGGTTAAAGGACAAAACGGGCCCCTCTATGTGTGAGATTCTGGGCAAGCGAGTGCAGTAAGTAAAGACACAGACTCTGTTCTCCTTCAAAAGTTTTAATTACATCCACCCCAAAGGTAGAAAGAACAAAATGACACCAGTAATAAAAAAAAAATAAAAGAAATAAAAAACCTCGGGGTTCAAATCCCTGCTTCGCCACTACTCGCTGTGTGACCCTCTCTTTGTCTCGGTTTCCTCTTTCTGGAGTCGGCCGTGAAGGTTTAATGAGTTAATCTCTGTGTGGCACTCAGCACAATGCCTAAAAGTGCTGAGCACTTCACAGAAAGTGCTCCATAAAAGTGATCACGCTGTGTTTCCTAGGGGCACACATATACCCGCTCATCACTCATTCCGCCAGGTTTGACTGAGCGCCTCGCCTCCTGCGTTCGAGACGTGAGGCACCGGGGACTGGGCAGTGAAGAAAGCGGACGCAATTTCCACCCATGTGAAACTGACATTCTGGTGGGGGAGACAGTCACCGGAGAAGCTGCGAACGGCGAAATATATGGTTTGTCCGACGGTGACAAGCGCTATGAAGAAAAACAACGGGGGAGGTCACTGGAATGCAAAGGCGAGAGCGCCGGTGGGGAAGCCAGCTACGTGGCTCTCTCAGGCGGAGTCCTCCTGGCAGAAGGACTGTAAGGGCAAAAGCCCCTGTGGCAGAAGGCCCCCTGTGGCTGGAGTGGGTGACGGGGTGGGGAGGGAAAAAAGGAGAGGTAATAGGGCCGGATCTGTAGCTCCCTTTGGGCTGAGGCGAGCATTTTGGCTTTTTCTGTGAGTGAGATTGGAGCTCTGCATGCATGTAAATATATATACTTATTTTCTGTAAACTAAGCTTTTCGTTGCAACTCACTGGGGACAGTAAAGACATAGATTAGAGATAGGACATGCTGATCTCATCATTGGAACCTCACATCTAATCTTTTCATTTTTTTAAATGAAAGAATCCATTCCCATAATATGTGTGAAATTGACAATGCGAAAGCAAAGAACAGCAGGACGTGTGGGAGGACCCAGATCCCTGCCCACTTGAGTACCCCCATCCCAGCTCAAGGGACACCCCTGAGTAGCTGCCAGGTCACTAATGGGGCCCAGATGTGCCCAGAGGTGGCCCTGGCCCCAGACCTGCCTGTCTGGGCATCTTGAATGGCAATTGGCTTTAAAGTCAGTCTATTTTCTGGACTCATTTAAAAGAAAAGCCCCGGGGGTGGTGGGGGGGCATCTAATGGCCCCACCAGACTCTGCCTCTCCCCATCCCACAGCTCTGAGCTGCTGCCCGGACAGAGGACGGAAAGTTCTTCCCTACAGTAGAAAGCCAAGCAGTAAAAATAGAAGGAATGATGGCGCTAGAAAAATCACCATTTGGCAACCACCATAGTAGTAATTGATTTAGGCAAAAATCACCAGTGAGGGCTTAAACTCGTGGGTGGAAGTTTGAGGAGAAACAGGATATTCACATGGCCTCGGAATGTCTCCCCGCAAGATGCAGATTAAGTACCGAAGGGGAAAAAGAGGAACTTTATCCAGGCAAAAGCTGGCAGACACCACCTTAACCAAGTGGTCAAAGGTTGACGCCACCAGTAATACTTCAAACTGACCTCGTGTGCCTCCCGATAGCTTGCTCTACGAAAGTTTATTTCTGGGGTTCTGCCCAAACTGCACAACCCGAAATTAATCACGAGGAAGCATCAAGAAAGTTCGATTTGGGGAACATTCTACAAAAGAGCTGGCCTGCAACTCTTCAAATATGTCAGAGTCACAAAAGACCAAAAAAGGAGCCATCCCAGAATAAAAGAGTAAAGAGACAGATCGAGGAAATGCGACCTGTGATCCAGGGTCTCTCCCTGCCCCCACATCCCAGAGGGCTGTGGAGGACCTCACTGGGGCAGTTGGAGAAACTGGGTTACGACTGTGGATTAGACAATAGCATTGCACCAAAGCTAAATTCCCTGATTTTGATCATTGAACTATGGTTATATGAGAGAATGTCTTTGTCCTTAAAAAAATACATGCTCATGTATTTAGAGGTAAAGCGACGTCCCCTTTTGATGACTCCAAGTAACTCGTACCCGCAGTGCCACTGGCACAAGGGCCACGATCCTTCTTAAATTCAGTCTGCAACTTACTCCCATCATGTCTGCAACTTACTCCCAAATGGCTCTGAAAAAAATAACATGAGGCTATGTCTGTGCGTCTAGAGAGAAAAATGCAAACGCGATAAAATGTTAACATTTTGAAGATTCTGAATGAAAGATTCCAGTTTATTGTACTTCTCTTGCAACTTTTCTGCCCGGTCAAAATTATTTCAAAATAAAAAACTTTAAAAAAAAAAAAATCTAAGAAACGGCCTCCCTTAGCCTTTCCTCTTGTCTCCATCTACCCCATTCCACCTCCTGTGACCCCCTACCAAGAGGATGCTTTTATTAGATTATTGTAAATCCTTCTAGAGTTTCCATAGGCAAATACAAACAAGAACGAGAATGAATAACACGCTCATTTGGGCCCCTCTTCTTCCCACAAAAAGGAGCGTGTGATTTTTTCCCCTTAGCAATGTGGCTGTTCCCTGTCAAGTGGGGCTGCTCCGTCCTCACTCTTTTTAATCCCACCCCCACCCCCACCCTGACCTGCAGGGCGACGTCCCCTTTCGATGACTCCAAGTAACTCGTACCCGCAGTGCATCCCAGAGGTCTGTGGAGGACCTCACTGGGGCAGTTGGAGAAACTGGGTTACGACTGTGGATTAGACAATAGCATTGCACCAAAGCTAAATTCCCTGATTTTGATCATTGAACTATGGTTATATGAGAGAATGTCTTTGTCCTTAAAAAAATACATGCTCATATATTGAGGTAAAGCGACGTCCCCTTTTGATGACTCCAAGTAACTCGTACCCGCAGTGCCACTGGCACAAGGGCCACGATCCTTCTTAAATTCAGTCTTCCCTCAAGGCCTGCACACCCTGGCCCTCTAACGCCATCCTCCCGGTGTAAGAGGGAAGCAGGCATTATCACTTCCCCCACTTAAAAGCCCCAGTGGCTGCCCTCTGAGCTGGACTAAAATCCCAACTCCTCACCAGCCTCAAGGGCTCTGCGGGGTCTGGGCCAGCTCCCCAATCCCACTCTACCTCCCCAGCGGCCCCCAGCCTCCCTGGTCTCTCTTGGGGTTGGGGAGGCAGCTCTTCCCAGCGCCTAAGCCTTTGCACTTGCTGCTTCCTCCCCTGACTGGAACTTTCTCCTCCTTCGGGCCTTCTCAGGAGGCTGCCTCTCCAGCTCTCCCTCCCTTATCTGAGGGAGCCCCACCCCACCGCTCTCCAGCACGTGCTCACTTTAATTCCATCTTGGCACCATCACTGTAGGAAAGCGGCTTGTTTATTTAATCACTTGTTTGTTTTCTGTCTCCCCAGCTAGAACATAAGTTCCGTGAGTGCGGGGACTGTCCATCTGTCCGTGGCTGTAATATGCCCTGGCATACACCGAGCCCATCAAAACCAACTGAATGAATGCCCCTTTACAGTCTGGGGAGGAAGGCACTGTTATCGCCCCATTTTACAGAGGCAGAGTGGGGAAGAGTCTTGCTCCAGGCACCCTGAGTGTCGAGGGCACCGGCCAGGCATACCTGGCTCCCAGGATGATAGGAGCCTGGTGGACCCAATTTCAAACGCCAACTGGGAGGTTTCACCAGGCCTGGACCTCTGGATGAAGTCATTTATTCATTCACCATCAATGTCAACACCTACTGTGGAGTGGCTGTAAATGGCAGCCCAGGGATGTGGGGCACAGTAGGCCTTCAGCAAACTGGTGCCCAGCCCCGCATCCCCCCAACTCTCTAACTTCCCTTCAGGGAGGCCTGCTACAATTTGGCGATTGTTAGAGAACGTTTTTTTTTTTTTTTCTTTTGGGAGGAAAGCTGCAAGTCATTAAGGGCTGCTCCCGGCCTGCGGGTCACCATTTCCTGTTTAGAAGAAAGAATCATCTCTCCTTTGGAACATGAAGCTCCCCCAACCCCCAGCCTGACTCCGGGGCTCCAGAGCTCTGGGACGCCTGCACGCCTGCTCAGTTCCCCCGCAGGAAACTGGCACCTTCAGCACCTTTTGTGCTCAAAAAGGACACTCATTTTCTCCCGGCCCCATGAGGGCCCCAGAGGTGAGGTCACCACAACAGCCAGCCAGCCAGGAGTGAATTATCCCAGCCCAGGACGCAAGCTGACCGTCTTCCCTGTCCTGTCCTTGAGCAGGAAGCTGAATGACCCCTACCCTTTGGCCTGGCTTCTCACCCTCCTGGCTCCAGCCAGCCAATTTCCTTGCATCAAAGGCCATTTGGTACCCAGCAGCCAGACAGAGGTGTGGGTCTGACAGGGAGGCTGGAGCGGGGCCCAGAGCCCTTGGAAACAGGAAGGACATCCTCTGTCCCCCTTCTTGCTCATTGCATTCCACTCCCTCAGCGGCGAAAGCAGCCGATCTCTCTCCAAAAGTCCTGGAGTGCTGGGCAAAACCTGTCTAGTTGATAAGACCCAGGGAGCCAGCTTCTCACTCTGGGGGCCTGGTCAGCTTCAAAACGGGAGAATGAGAAAATAAATAAGGGCCACGATTTAGAGAGTGCAGGAACCCACTGCTCACCCGGGTCACAGGTGTTTCCCAACCTCTACTTCACACAGGACACCAGGCTCGGAGGAAAACCCATTTGCACAAACAAGGTCCCAAACTGTCAAATCCAAGAATCCAAAGTCACATGATGTTTAAGAGGACATGATTTAAGGCTGTGTCAGGAATATCCACGAATCCCTCTGCCCTTTCCCTCCTCCCCAAAGGCCCTTTGAAATACCCACTCCTCTAGAAAACGAGACTTTCTTATATATAAATTAACCACTTTATTGAATATCAATAAATTGTACATATAACTATACAAAACGTTTCCTAGTACAAAATGTTGCTTGCAATATAAATACCAGTGTACCTTTAAAAAAATGTAAACATCTTCCTCCTGGGCCCACCTGTCGGGCCCCGAAAATAGTTCTGGGAGACACATTGGTAGGGCCCAAGCACCCTACTTGGGCCCAGGACAAGTGATGGCAATTACTCACATTCCCTTCTGAGATGCTGTTAAATCGCCCATGAAACAGGTGCCACCGTGACAAACAGGAGGCTGAAATAGCTGCCCAGGCATCCTGGGGTCTAGACGCGTCCTCGCGTCAGTGAGGACCCCTGGCAGGCCCCCCAGGTGCCCCTGGGGGTGGATTACTCAGTCAGTCACACCTCCTGGAGGGGCGGCCTGAAGGATTCTTGGGGCAAGGAGTGGGGTCTCCTGAGTGGGTGGGAGACTCCTATCAGCCTAGTCGGTTTTTGTTCTGCAGCTCGAAGCAGCTGTATCCAAGCTTTGGATACACAAACCCACATAGAAAGGCCAGCTCCGGAATGCTGGGGGCAGCGGCTGGGGTCTCCACTGCAAGCCACCCTCCCATCAGCCGTCCACAGAAATGTCTACAGAAAGGCCTCTTTCAGAGACAACTGGAAAAGTGTCCTCAGCATCCTGTGGGGCCAACGCAGCCAGAATCGGAGCTCAGAAGGGAATTCCATGGTGGCGAGGAGGACGTGGGGGTCCTTCCTTCCGGAGTTGGGGGGGGCCCACTGCAGGGGAGGGTCTGAAGAGGCGGAAGGAGACTTGAGGGTCAACGGGGGCCCCCCGAGCAGCCCGACTCTTGGTGCTTGTGGAGCAGGGACATGCGGGAGAAGGTCCGGGAGCACGTCTTGCACTGGTACTTCTTGACGTCCGAGTGCGTCTGGAGGTGTGCCCGCAGGTTGGAGCGGTCTGCGAAGGCGCGACTGCAGTGGGGGCAGGAGAAGGGCTTCTCTCCTGGGGAGAGAAGGCAGGGAGTCGGTGAGAATGCTAAGTCACTCGGGACAACAACTGTCATTTACTGAAGTCTCTACCCAGCCATCCCCGACCCCTAAAGGAGTCCCATGACCCAGAAAAACCAGGCTATATCCAGTGGGAGCTCTGCCGCTTCCCACCGTGTGACCCCGAGTGAGTCAGCTGGCTTCTGAGCCTCCATTTGCTCTTCCATAAAATGGGGTTATTCGTCCCCCACTCATAGGGGTTGATCATTGAGAAAAGGTGGAATAAAGGACTTATCCACACAGTGCCGGCAGGAAGTGCTCAACAAACAGCAATGACGATGATTGCATTTACAGAACACTCACTTTGAACCAGGAACAGTGAGTGAGAAGCAGTTTATACTTATCTCATTGAAGCCGATCCTCGCCTCAGGTTAGAGATGGTGAAATTGAGGCACTGGAAAAGTTAAGTAGTTATATGCAGGGTCACCCAGCAGGAAGCAAGCAGCCAGACTCCAGAGTCCTTGATTAACAACTACACAGACTGCCTCTCAGTTAAAGGGGCTGGGTGGGTGTTCCTTATTATCATTCCTGGATCAATGTCATCTGGGGACCAAGCTTAAGAGTCAGCCTTAAAGGCCTCCTCAGCCGCACACCCGCCCATCCCTGCACGTTCGGCGGCTGCTCTGGGCTGCTTCCCCATTGAAATGGATCACACTAGGCGTAATTTCAAGTCTCCCTGTCTGCCCCCCAATCAGGCTGAGTCCCATGAAGGCAGCAGCCTCCCCTGAATCTATTCTGAGCCTCCAGCCTGGCTCTGGGACCCCCGAGAGGCTACAGAAACCTTTTACTTCAGGACTTGCTTAAAACCTCTCCCCACCTGGGACCCTTCTCGCCACCTGCTTCACCAGGACTGTGTTGGGAAGTCTTACACATCGGGCTGGGAACACAGTCAGTGCTTGTGCAACGAGTAAGTTTGTTTTGTTTTTTTTTGTTTTTAAGGTCTCAGAGGAGCCTGATCCTTTGCTCACCGCCAGATAACCCTGTTCACCAACTTTTCATAATTCTTGCCCCAACCAAGAGGATATATATAGTTCATGGTCCAAAAACTTAGAGTGTTGTTTTGTTTTGTTTCTTGGGGGTATAGCCTTAAACAAACACTTATCAACTTACCAGCTATGTGCCAAGCAAGGACTATTCTATAATACTGAATATTCTTGTCCAAAAAATACAATTCTCTTATCCTCCCACTTCCAGCCTGGCCAGCCCCTAGGCCATGGCCCACAGGTTAAATCCCAGTGCTGGAATTCAATAGCAGGGAATGAATGAATTCCAGCAGCCTACTGGGTGCCTGGGGCATTGCACTGGGCATGGGAGGGAGGGATCCAGAAGTCAGATGCCTGAGGGTGACTGCGAACAGCCCATTCAAGAGCTCAGGCTCCTGAGGCAGAGGGGGCTACCTAACTGGAGGACAGAGGGATGTAATTTGCTCTGCCATGATTGAGTACTCTGCATACCAGGCCTGCAGTTTTGATGCTTGCATTCTACAAGGTCTAAGTGAAGTTCTTCCTCATTCACACACTCTCTTGTGAACTGAGGGCTTACTGTAAGCAGATCAGGTAAATGGGAGGGAGTGAGTCCTGTACTCCACAGGGTACAGAAAGCCACTGCCTTCTCACACCCTTGGCAGAGGTGAAGGAGCCCTGCCTCCAGTCTTGCAAGTTATGACTTGGGAAAGTAAATTCCTTCTCTGTGCCTCAGTTTCTTTATCTGTAAGGTGGGGATTATGGCACCTCCCTCCTAAGGCTGTTGATGGAGTTACAGCGTTAACACAGGTAGGTGAAGGAAGCCTGAACTCTGAACACTGACTCCCACACAGCAAGTGCTCAGTGAACATCACCTTCATGTTAGGTGTGATTAACGTAGGTCTGAACAAAGGGGGAAGGAGGCCTTGTAGGATGTGATGGGGCAAGGGTTTGTGCACAAGCTGGAGACATAGACCTCCACCCCTCACTGAACCACCCCCCAACACACGCCTTTATGGTGCTCCTGGCGAGTGTGAAATCGGCACCAGGCCGGCGGGGACAAAGGCCGCCGAGGGGGGCACTGTATATGCGATACTCCCTGGATTAAAGGGGCCTGACACGATGCAGGCCAGCAGCTGCGGCCCAGAACAGGTGCTGGGCACCGCTGCCCCATGCACCTGCTCCACCCGCCAGCCCCCACCCTCTGGGGCCACCATTAAGGCACACAATGGGTGTCAATGAGGATGGCAATGGTGCATTTCAACAGGCTTTTTTTTTGTGTCTGAGCCATGCCTTTACAATATAATAATGTCTCGTGGGAGGAGAGAGAAAAGGGAAGGGGGGGCACCCCAGGGCTTCAACTCCCTCACCCCCAGATAGAGCCCTCATCATCTGGATAGGCACCCAGGACTAAGGTCAGGTGGTTGGACTTTTACATGATAAAATCAGGGCCATTTGTGCACAAAGTAAGAGAAATGGGTAGCTACAGTCTGCAAGCTGGGGAGGATGCCGGGGCCGCTTTGTAGGAATATTAATGACATCAATAATGCCTGCAAAATACATTACTCACAAATCACCCCACTGACCCTCATGGCTCAGAGGTCAGCTACGGGGCCAGAAAATGCCAGAACTGAATCTCCAACCTGCCAGCAGCTTGACCTCAAAGCCGATAGTATGACCCTTGAACCTCCCTCAGTCTCTCCAAAGAGCAGCCCCAAACACTGTAGCTTCCACCAGTCAAGTCCTGAGAAGTGGCTACCTTTTGCCCATTTCCACAAAGTTAAAGGACAGAAGAGGCTCAATTTCACAATATTCTACACATCTAGTATTAAGTTTTTGAAACACCAAGACGTCACTGTGTTTTTTGCCAGTAAAGGTGTTCCCAGGTCAGCAAGATAGGATTGAGTTTATCTCCTCCACAGTGGGGGTGTGGAGAGCAGGTCTGAGAACCCTCAGGATAATAACTTACTATAAAGTGATTAAGAAGCCACCGAATCTTGAGAGCCACCCTATAAAACTCTATCTTAATCCACCCTATATCATTATAGGATCATAATCATGTGGCTCAGAGAGGTTAAGTCACTTGCTAAGTGACACAGTATGGAAGCAGAACAAATACCAACTACCAATTTTTGTGCATGCTTATCATGCACCAAGGACCATCCCAGGTGCTTTTCGGATGCTTTCTTTCATTAACCAACACAGAACACCAACCCCTCCCCAGAATTCTTATGCTCAGGTTACAGATGAGGAAACTGAGGCTCAGAGTGAAACATCAGCCCAAAGTTTGGGGAAGTTCTCAGAGCAGGATTCAGAACCAGGTGGGGGGGTCTAACAACATCCTGTCTGGCTGGGGTGAGGGTGGGATGGGGGAGGGCAGAGCAGTGAGGGCCCCTTCACACCTGGCTCCACAGCAAGGTGTTGGTTGCACCTTTCCCATACCCAGCTCCAACCCATTTGGCTGAGAAACAGACTGCAGAGGGACTTGTAAAGTTATCTACTTAGCCCATCTGCTCAGCTGATGAATGAATGAATGTTTCTGCCAGACATTTCAGAGAGCCAGGCCCCTGAACTCTTGGGCTAGAAGTCAAGAGACTCAGCTTCCACAATCTGAAAATAAGAGCAAGGCCAGTCTCACAAGAGCTGGTACAGGCAGAGGTGGAGAGGGGCAGCCGGCCTCCGGGGACACTCACCGGTGTGAGTTCGGACGTGGCCCTGTAGCAGCCAGGGCCTAGAGAATGCCTTCCCGCAGGTGCTGCAGACGCAGGGCAGCGTGTGGCTCCGGATGTGCATCTTGAGGGCACCCAGACTGATGTACTCCTTGTTGCAATATTTGCAGTTGAAGGCCTTGCGAGACTGGGGGTCCTTGGCCCCGGAGAGCCCGGCCAGCTGCTTGAGCCCAGGCAACGGGCCCAAGCCTGAGAAGGCAGCATAACCCTCCGCCTCCAGGGAAGAGGCTGAGGTGGAAGAGAAGGACGAAGGCGCCGGCGAGGGCGGGGGAGGGGGGTGGGA